AAAACACCGCCAGGTCCAGCCAGTTTTCTTTTTCGTGAATGAACACAACAACACAAAAACGAAGCCTTAAGCAAAAAAGCAACGATTTTTAAAGTTATCGCAGAAGTTCCCAGAAGAAAACCAGCGGCTAGTGGAGGAAAAAGATGCACATAATATGAGGAAAGTACTTTTGTTTGTAAATCATTCATTCAGTGGTTTTGAGAATTAAATTTGTGTTGTTATAAGTACCGAGTCGACTGTTTTGGTTCGCTCCGGTTATTCTTTTGTTGCTGTTGAAGTGAAAGTCTAGAAATATAACAAAACACTTAATGTCAGGTCCCTTGGGAAACCAGTTAGTTAACTGTTTCCCTTGGGATCTGACATTAAGTGTATAATATCATGCGAAAACCGAATTCAATAATTGTTTTATTACACATTTTTTAAACAATAGGCAAAAGAAGACATTCATCTGTTGAAAAATAGCTTTATTTCAAAACTAAGGTGAAAGTGACGCTGATAAGCTTAACCAAGATCATTTAAAAATTTTAAAATACAATAATAAAACCTTTGTCTGAATAATAAAATAATAAAATAATAATAACAATAATAATAATAAATAATAATAATAAAACCTTTGTCTGAATAAAGTGTTCATTAAAATAGAAAAATCCTTAATCGACAATAATTCATCCTCAGAAACAGAAGCGAAGCGTTCAGCCATTCTGTTTCTGAGGAGAACACTCTAAGGGGCTTGGTAACCGGGAAGACGTTGAACTTGACATGATAAATGCAATATCTGCAGCAGATATTGCATTTATCATGTCAAGTTCACGAGCTATTGTGAATTGATTGTATGCTCTCGACCAATCAGATTTTTCATAGTGAGTCTGATGTATAATAATATGTAATATGAACTCTCCGCCCCTGTAAGGGAAAAAAGTGAACATAAACAACCGTGAAATTGATGATAAACAAGAAGAACTGAATACAACAGCAAGGGAGTGGGAGTCTACAATCTGATTCGCTAAGCGTTGTCTTTATGATTTGGTGAGGCCTGTAAGAGAGAATTCTTCGTTCCACAAGTGATTCTGCGTGATAGCTCATGTCTCTTCGAGAAGACTCTTAAAAGGCCCCGTCTTCCTTTACACGACCCTTCGCATTCACGAAAAAGTTTCTCCGATAAAATTCAGCGAGGCTGAAATTTATCAGCGAAATATGTCCTCCCCGGTCCTCTCCCATTTTCCCGATACACATGCGTCCAAGTAAGACCCGGTGTAAACAATGCATTTGTACCAAATTTAATTCCGGTATTGAATGCGTAAAAAGTTCGGCGTTTAACTAAAAATTAAATTCGACAACGCGACTTCTGTCGCATCTTCGACTGAGGCAGTCAAATCTCGACAGAAGTTCAACCGTTGTCTTTTGTGCCGAATCAAATTTTTAAATCATTTTTAATTTATTATAACCCACAATTCTCAATTTTTTCCCAACTCTATAAAAACTCGCTCATGATTCGACGTCTCAAATGGCGGATTTACTTATTTTAGTAGAACCAAATAGGTATAAGACTCGGCACATGTGAAATTTGACTTTTAAACCGGGGCTAACGAGATGCTATTTGCACGATTAAACCTCCAATTTAAACTCTAAAGTTTCTTGCAAAATTCGTTATTATAAAAAGGAGTTATGATTATTTAATAAATTGTCCAAAATATATAAACAAATCAAAACTTTAAACAATTCAAGTCAAAATTCTTTAATTTACTTTATTCTAGTAATTCTAGCATCTTCGGGAATTAAACGTCATCCCAGTCGATTCCGATAATTCCTCGGGGATCATTTCGGGTCGGGAATCATTTCGGGTCGTGCTTAGGTCGAGTTTGGGGATCATTTGGGGTCGGGGATCATTTGGAATCGGGGATCATTTTGGGTCGCGTACATATCTTTAATAGCACCATACTTGGACACACCCTCCGGAAAGAAAAGTTTTCTTGCCTTCATCGTGAGGGATTCAACGGTGATCTGTTCATCATCATTGTAGTAGAAGTCTCGAACACTTCCACCGTCCTTTGTTTTTATCTGCTTATAACCTATATACAAAGCCTGCGGCGCCTCACTACCGCTGATTTCTTGGGCATTGCAACGTTCACCGTCTTAGACTTTTGTTTTCCTGCTTTATTACCTCTTTGTGCTTTTATTTTCTCTACCAAGTCTTTAACTCGTTCTTCCCTTTCCACTGTGGAAAAATTGATTGATACATTGTTTATAACTTGAAGTGCAGGGGGATCCTAACAATTTTTCTATAGTGCCTGGGGGAAACTCCCTACATTTGTCTGTTCGGGAAGGCTCCAGCCCAAAGGGCTACCTTTCTCAGGCTTCAGGTAAAAAAGGTAGGGTTTCTTTTGTTGCCGGAACCATATGAAAAAATAGGGAAATCAAGTCTTTTCGGTTTGTAAGAGGGCCCGGAAGGGATTACAGATACATTTTATATCTTTAAAAAATCGAAAAAAACGTCTGGTTCGCAGTCTCTTCATATTTCAAAGACAGGGCATTTACAGCAGTTTGGAAGGCATAAAAAAGGGCTACTTTTTCTGTCAATAATCGGGTATTGATAAAAGGCGAAGGGGCTGGACTTCAGTGTGGAGCCTCTCTGTATAAAACTTATATAATCAAGGTTCTCTTTTCTTCATTTTGACATATTAGTAAGTAAGTAAGTAAGTAAGTAAGTAAAAGCTTTATTAATGTGTCAATGTAGTTAGTTTTCACAACTAATTGGGGACACAAAAATTAAAATCATTTACAAATAAGAAATAATAATAATGTATATACAATTAAAATATGTAGCATGTATAAATTGGATAATAAAACAACAGTTATATAAAAGGTAGTCTCTAAGAATTGCAAAGGTTACAGCAGCTATTGTTGTTGTGACGTTACGTCTTTTTTCCTAATGTTCTTTTTGAAAGATTCAACATTCGAGGTGACTGACTTCCGAATGCTCACCGAGATATGATAATTTAGTATGAGAAAACAGAAGGGATTCCCGTTCCGAGTTGGTTTAATTATTGGCTTGCATTAAACCTATGAAAAAGTGATATTTTTTAACAGTAAGTAGATTTAGTGAGTAGCATAGACTTTCAAAAAAGTCCTTTGCTCCGCTCGCCAAGAGGTCGACTTGTAGCAAGTCTATGTGTAGCACTGTACCAAAATTATCATTTCTCGGTGAGCATTCGGAAGTCAGCCAAGCGCGGTCATTGCACGCGTGCTGAACAAGAATGCTGCATCATGACAGACTAGAAACAATAGACAACTCCCAAAGCACAAACTCAGCCAAAACGCTAAAAATCTTCAAAGTTTACTCAAGTTTGGGCTTATAGAAGATAATGTCACAGTTTTTCAATGACCATGAAATTCAGAATCCGGCTAGTTAGTTAATCAATTGTGGCCCTGAAAAAATTTGAAGGAAAAAAAACTACGAATTTTTAAGAAAATGCTTTTTTCGTGAGAAGGACTCTTAATCGCTGACAAACGTCAACAAATAGCTAAAACTATAATTTCTATATGTTTGCTTTGCTCGAAATCGCGCGCATTTACAAGGCCCTAAAGCTTTTCGCTGACTTGCAAGGAACCATCTGTTATAACGATGCCCAAAATAAAGGGATAAGTGTCATAGTTTATTAGATATAATCGTGTAAAGTTTGCTTAACATTTTCGCATAAATTACGACCTAAATTTGGAAACCGCTGAATTTCTCGAATTGGGTCTTTGCGATTTTGTTAAAACTCTGTTCAGCGCAGTTTACTAATGCGCACTATGTGTAGCCTAGAGATTTTCAAGAAAAAATGCCGGCAACAGCAGATTTTCGACTCAGCCCTCAAGGGGGCGTGGCATTATAACCATGTGACATTTACTCCGATCGCCAAAAATTTTATGTTATATTGTAGATTGATCTATATGTTATCCATTCTATGTGTTAGACTTACGATAAAAGTAGAGGTGGGGATACCAGAGAGCTTCAAAGTAGGATGGTACCCCCCCCCCCCAAAAAAAAACTGGGTCGAGTCACCTTAAATACTGCTCAAAGTGCGCGTTCTTGAATCCGCTCTATTTTTCTGCTGTCAGACGATCTACAGTTATGCCATACCAGATGGTAATATGTTCAGTGAGGCAGGATGGATGATTTGTAGATTATCAGTTTTGCTTTGCATGGTATCAAGTTTCGCAGTCTCAGTAAGACACCAACTTTTTGACTGGCTTTTATGCAAATGTTACTGATATGGCTGGTGAAAGTAAGCTTGTCATCTATTTCAACTCCAAGTAATTTGATTTGCGAAGTGTTGGTAATGATCTGATCTTCAATCTGCAGGGCCTCAGTCTGTTTATCTGAGTCAATGCTTCTTGGATTGATAGTAAGACATTGAAACTTCTCTGTGTTGGCATGTAGAAAGTTATCCCTGTACCATGACATGGCTAACTTTCCTTGATATTGTAGCCTGGAAGATGCGATGTTGTAGTCCGACCCTGTTACATATAGCTGATGGTCGTCAGCATGCATGAAAAGGTTTGTCTTTGACCAACATGGTCATGTCATTCTGGAATAAGTTCCACAATAATGGACCAAATGAAGATCCCTGAGGACAACCACGTGACATTTTAGACCATTCACTTCTAACAGTGCCTAGTTTTACGCGACTGTATCTGTCATTCAGAAACGATCGTATTAGATCCAATGATTGATTAGTGAACCCATATGCTTTGAGCTTCTTGATGACTAAATTGTGACGTAGAGAGTTAAAAGCCTTACTCATGTCTGTAAATAGAATGGTCACTAATTCTTTTCTGTCCATAGCTGTGATTTCTTTCTGTATGCTGTCAATCTTGGAGATAGCGTAGGGTTAAAATAATGGGTTATTTGTTTGCTCAGCAGTGATTCAAAAACCTTGTCAATGATCGATAGCGTCGTGATAGGTCGATAATTTTCTACATTATGCTTGTCCCCTTTCTTGAAAATAGGAGTGAGTTCTCCCCTTTTCCATACTGCATATAGCTGGCCAGTTACTATTTTCAATACATATGCTGTAAAGATTCGTCACTGATGGTGCGATACCCAGTCCAGTGTCACTACAAGATTTTCTAGGATTGAGGTTTTCAAACAAATCTTGTACGTCTTCTGTATTTATATGTTTGAATTGAAATGAAGAGTTACTATAGATGGTTTCGATCATTTGAACACTACCGTGTTTATTAAATTCATTTTCAGTTAAACTGATTACATGGTTGCCTCCGATATCAGATGTAATAGTGGAGAAATAGTTGGCGAGAGTCTCAGCCACTTGCCTTTGATCTTCAATAATGCCATCCTCATGTTTGTTTTTAAGGAATATTGGATTAGCATCTTTTGTTTTGTTGTTCAGGAAAGGTCGAAATGCATCGAAAAAGTCATGTGGTTTGGACTTCATTTCTTCAGACTTTTTGTACCAGTATGCAGTAAGAGCTTTTCTCCGTTCACGAGTGGCAATATTTCGATATTTCTTTTTAAGTTCAAAGTTTTCTGGTGTGCGGTCTTTTACAAATTGAATGGCATATTTCCTCTTGTTTCTAATAGCCGCTTCCCATTCTTTAGACATGAAACATACATCTCTTTCACGAACCCGTTTCTTTCTCACGGGAGCATGTTCATTTGCAATACTATCAAAAAGATTTCTTCAATAGTCATAAGCATCATCTAAATCATCAAAGATTTCACCAACATGCCATGGAGCATCAAGTAGATCCTTGTTAAAGTTGTCAAAGTCAGTAGTTTTAGTTTGTCGGTGGACAAGAGTCTTGGTTGCATGTTTTTTAACCTTTTCTGTCATTTCGCCATAAATCATACTGTGATCACTGATCTTGGGGTTGTATACATCGCAGTTCTTGAACAGATCAGGGCCATTTGTAAGCATTACATCAATACGTGTTTGCGAGTTTGCCGTGACCCTTGTTAGTTCATTTATAAGGCAGTGTAAGTCCCTCGGAATTTTTCCCTCAGTACGATCTAACCGTGGTCTGTCTAGATTTAAGTCACCAACAATAATAACAGTTTTCTTTTTGAAACATGCCCATTGAAAGATGCTGTTTAATTCACTCTCGACTCTTTGTAGGTAGTTTCCGCAGGTTTTACTTTCTTTCTTGGAGCTATTAGACGGTCTGTAAATGGACAGTATCAGGATATCTTGTCTGCCTATTTTAACATCAACTGCTATAACTTCTAATGTTTTATAAGTTGTCGGCAGAGTGAGCTTTCTTGTTGGAATTGTTGTTGATGTATAGACAAGTAGGCCACCCTCTCCTTTCGCTCTGTCCTTGTGGAACATATTGTAGCCTTGAAATTTGAATTGGCTGTCTGGATAGGATCGGTCGATTTTAGTCTCCGATATCACCAATATTTGTGTTTTCAGAGATCTGTTCAGAGGGAGAGGTTAGATCTTCTCTGGGGAGAGAACACTGTTCGTCTTCATTAAAGAAAGTTAGTTCTATAGTGGTTTTATTTTATTGGAAAAGGATGCGGAAACTGGTTACCATTCCTGTTTACTAGCTTTAACGGTGTAATTTTTTTTATTAAAATTAACCTACTTTCTGCTATATATTCTGACTATTTTACGATGGCCACCCGGAAATTTCCAGTATTTACGGTCAAGTGAATAACATTTTAGTAAATCCATACCTCTGACTGGCTTTTCCAGGAACGCCTTCAACATAGCTATTTGCCCGATGGCTAACCTCGTCGTCTCAAATTGTGCGTCTGAGATCATTTTTACAGCAGGCAAACTGTACACCTGACAATATAAAGTGTAAAAACAAAAGATACGGCGTATGTCCTTTCGTCGTAGATAAACCATATATAGATTTAGGGTCACGATAACGGCAAACTTCTGAAATGAGAAATGGTCGCATATACACTGTTCGCGAAATAAATCATGAGGATGAAAGAGGTATGGAGCAAGTTATTACTTTTGTGGCAAAGATATAATATATTGAGTAATTGAGTAATAAACGACAAGTAAAGGGAAAACATGGTCAGGTGGCACAATTTTTCTGTGAACGTGATTCTTTGGATAGTTATTGTTCTTTATTACATAAAAAAAAATCCTTTTTTGCTTTTATTTTTTATCTCTTCTATCAAGGACGTAAAAAACTTGTAGAGGTTTTTAGAGGCATGTGTTCTCGATTTTGCGCATGCATTTCTTCATTGCTAAATGTCAAGACACAACTTGTACTGCGGAATCGGAAGCTATTGCCTTGATCCAATTTCTTTTGATCTAGGATTTGAATAAAGGTTAGGCGTAATGACTTTAATCCTATGATCATGTATGATCAATCTATTATTGAAGAGCTTCCTTTCATATTATTAAACAATTCAGAACAGATCGCTTCATGCATTATTATTGATAATTGATTTCAATTTTATGGCACTTTTTTGCCGCGAACTTTCATAAAAGAAAGATAATAAATGGTTTGTCGCGGCTTAATAAGAATAGCGCT